GGGCAGAGGGAGGCAGAATTCTGCATTGCTCAGTGATCTGAGGTTCAAGTTGTGAGAATATGGGTTCTCTGTGAGCAATATTCCTGCCCCATGTAGGAAGCACCTTGCCTATCCAGGGCTCCAGGCCTCAGCATCAGCACTCTCCTCAGTATCTCCCAACTACTAGCCCACACAGGACAACTGGATACCTGAGTGAGACCATCCATTGAAGTGGCAGCAGCCCCCACAAAGAACTTTTGGCCACCCACTCAAGCAGAAATCACAGACACTTCTTCAATGGAGGACACCTGGAGCTTCCCATGAGTAAGAACTCAGTCTACCAGCCCTGTGTGGACTCCCATCTACCAAAGTGTAGAATCCCCTGGTCACTGCCATCTTGGGACTCCACAGCAATGACATAATCTCCTACAAACAGTGCCTGCCAGCACCCAGGAACTTCACACAGGCTCTGAAGTCAGCTGACACTGCCAGCCACAGAGATTGCAGATGAATTCATCATCCAACACAATTGCTAGACTCCCTCCATCAGAACAGACACCCCACTGATGAATGTAAGAGGCTCTATCTTGGGTCACCTTTGTCACCATCTTTATGGTACTCAGTTTCTAATTCTCTGCTCTCCCCAGTAGCTGATAACTCTGCACAATGACACCCAGTTACTTTCACCATACTGAGGGCAGAGATACCAGCTAACAACTGAGGACCCCACCTATTGTATGAATAAGGAAGCAGGAAAGATAGTATAAACAACCAAAACAAACCTTGTCTTTCTTTAATATATTTCTCTATCTCCATCTCGCTCTCTCCCTTTCTCTCTCTTTCCCTCTCCTTCTCCTTTCTCCCCACCCTCACATCCCCAACATATGTGAAACCAAGTACTTTGCATGAATTAGGATTTTGATATCTGGGACATCTGAATAGTATAGTACATTATGTTGTACATTCTTTTAATACTATTTTATTTTTTAAAGTTTTTAATTTTTTTTCTTTTTTTACCACCAGGTTCTGCTATTTTTATATTTTTTGCTTTTCTTGATATGTCTGTGTGTTTGTTTTATGTACTCTACTGTATTCCCACTTACTTGTCTACTCAAATGTACTTCTTCTCCTCTCTCCTGCTACTAATCTCCCTCTTTAGATTTCTCTTTTATACTTCCTAATGCATATCAACTCTATATCCTCACCTCCTACCTCCTCACCATATCATCTTATTCCTCAACCCAGGTTTCTTGTCTACCATCAGAATCTGTAAATACTTTTACAAACCTACTGAATATATTGTAGATAATAATTGAATTCACTATTTTTGTACATTGTGAACAAACTGTAAACATCTTATTAGCAAACATTTGTTTTTTTTATGGTGTATATTTGTTTATACTGAGATCTGGTAACATTGTCCTTAACTTCAAAGAAGAGGTATTGGGTTCCTACAGGGGCACAATAAGCCTATAGGGTAAAATAGGTAAATCCTAGATACACAGTGCTAGAAGGAAAGACACACAAGCAACATGAAAAGGCAAAGGAAGAATATGCCTCAAACAAATCAAGATACTGCACTATTAGAATCCATGGCTAGCACAGCAGAAGATATTACAAAGAAGGAGTTCAGGATGTAAATAATTAAAATGTTCTGTGAACTAAGAGATGATATAAGAGCAAATACAGGCAGCAAAAGATCATTTGACAAAGAGGTACATCAACAAATAGAGGAAGCAAGACATGACTTCAATAGGGAGATAGAGGTTTTAAAAAAACAGACAGAAATCATGCAATGAAAGAAACAATAAACCAACCCTTCTCGGACTATTCCCTGAAGACCTTAAAAGAGCATGCTACAGGGATGCTGCCATATCGATGTTCATAGCAGCACAGTTCACAATAGCTAGACTGTGGAACCAACCCAGATGCCCTTCAATAGATGAATGGATA